ATAAAAGTATATAATTATTAAATATATATATATATATATATTTAACTGCATAATGCGCTATTATCTGGGTAACATCATAGTAATAAGTATCATACTAAATTTGGTTCTTCAAATTATGTTTATAAGTCATAAATGGTAATTGAATGGTAATCTGTCTGTTTCAGCAAACCCAACTTGGATGAGAATGCTGATCCAAGCGAGGGGCTGATGAGCGTGCTGAGGAAGATCTACACGGATGGAAATGACGAGATGAAGCGCACTATCAACCAGGCCTGGGTTGAGTCTCAGGAGAAGAAGGCCAAAGCAGATGACTTTGACTTCTAAGCCAGCTTATTGGTCTGCTTTCACAGTGAAACACCCAAATTCAGCTGCTGCATGCATGCCATTCCAATTTATTCAGATAATTTTATGTATTTTTCTACTTTTTTTCCCCTGTTAAATGCAGCTGTTGCTGAAAGTTTTGTTTCGTAAAGTGTTTCCATTTCCACTGTAATTTTCACAGCATTCTTAATTTTAAGTTGTTCCATATGGTAATCAAATGTTCAGGAAATTTTCAGTTAATGTTATTGCGCTTAAGAACATGTACCTTAAATGTGGAAAATGAAAATAAATGTAAAAAGTATTTTATTGCTTCTGGTGGTCATGACATTAAATGTTGCTGTCATGTAATATTACTCTCATCATCATGGAGTTATCTAAACTAAATGAACTGTGGATATAAAAGAAAACAGTGTTTGTTAATTAGAATTTTAATGCAGTCTCAAAATCTTTTTTTAGATAACATAATTGTACACATAAATGTGCTTTTATGTACAATAATTAGTTGCTGTAGTTTACCTATCAAGCCACAAGGAGGTGCATGCAAACACATAAGTTTATGATATTTATTGTGGTAAAATTATGGAAATATATGGCTTACTGTAGTCGATATTATTGTTGCAATTAGTACTACATACCTTTAAAACGATAAATAAAAAGAAAAAATTCTCATTGCTTCTGCTACTCAAAAAAATTTAATATTGCTGTCATGCAATATTTCTATTACTACTACTGCAATTGATCAATTCTCATTTATTTTATTTATTAATAAATAACATAATATAATAATAATAAC